CTATGGACTCCGGACAAGGTGCGTTCCTCTAGGTCTTCCTGCCAATATGACTAAGTTGCGAAAACAATGTCAAACGACTTCAATAATTCAAAAAATGGGCATAACTCATGAAATTATTACAAAATCTCCTAAAACGGCTTTCAATGGTATAACTTTTTAGAAGGAATGAAAGAATGATAAAGACATGAAAAAGGGCTCATAATTTCATTCAGAATAATTTATTTAAAAATTCGGTAGTAGAATAATTATAAATATAACTAACAATACCATATAGAAGATATGAAGACCAAGATAATATGGCCTTAGGTTTGGTTGAGGTTTCCTTCAGCTGTAAACTGTTGGTTTGATCGCGTTTACTCAACTTGGTCGGAGTGACAAAGACTTTGTGAAACATAACTAGCCACTAAGTCATAGTAATCATGATAATTTCCTGCATCGGATCACTGACTTGATTTATTCTCAGAAGTTTCGTAAGCATGGTTAGTTAAAGGCGCAATCCTTGGCAGAGTTACAATTAACCAGTTCCAGAGAAAGTTCTGAGAATGCAGCAAACCGACGTTCCGGTGAATATTATGGTAGATGATGCTGGACTGGGTACTTTCAACAAAATCTTCCTGTCGCTTTGATAATTTATATAGATGAGGTGCAGCTAACAATAATAAATGATGAGAATTTAATCACACTAAGTCGCTTAGTGTGATTTAGAAAGCATAAGGATTCCATTTAATTGCAACTAGCATTGCCCCACAAAAGGCTATATAATCTATAGAGAACTAGCTTTGACTTCGCCTAGGCCTCGTTAGCTTCAAATTAATGTCAAATCCATCCTGTGAACTACTGGCACTCGTAGCTATATTGGAGTTGTAGCGTCACCACGATATGACAAGGTATCGAATCCCGTAGAGGCTCGGATGAGATCTAGGCGGTGTCGAAACCTAAGTTCACCCAGAATGGAAGCCTATGAAACGCTGAGCCATAATCAACTTATAGTTGTAAAACGCAACTACTAGCCCTTAAATGGCCTTAAGCGACCGAGAGTGAATAAAATGGTCTAGAAAACTACTTATACCGTAAATAAGAAAGTTAGAAACAAACAAAAATTGTAGCGGAATAAGATTTACGAAAAGTAGGCTATTTAGACTATCTTGAAATGACCATAAAGAAAACTATACTAGCCATAGAATTTCTATAAAGGTAAGGGTACCTTGAAGATGTCCTTTCGAAATTTATCGTCACCATATTTGATTATCTTGAGAACCACATAGGAAGCGTATCGAGACTTCATTAAATTCAAAAAATGAGGCCGTAATTCGCCATATATTTGCCAACGCTGAGCTTCGGTGCCATGCTGGATTAAGGATTCGATAATCCTAGAGGTATCATGCGCCATGCATAGAGCAGGTAATTTACCCTGAAAAATAGATGTTAAAACAAATTATATATTATTTTTATGAAAGAAACTGTTAAGTGAAGATGGTAAAGGAAAGCCCACTTTGGCTATCTCCAACATTTTTTCTATCAGCTGAAATTTTTCATCCTTTGGAGTGGAGTCACATCTTTGTTTTTCCCAGAGAGACAGGAGAGGAATGACCGCTTCTGAAAACTTTTTTCCATTTAACTTTAATGTCCTGCGCTCCCGTTTTGACAATGGCTTGAACTCTAAATTTGATTATGTTATGTAGGGATACGTATCCAGAAGTAAAATATCCGGCAAGTAAAACTTACTCTTTTTTCGCTTAAATTTCTTTTAAATAACGTATTATTGTAACTTACCAGAAAATTCCTTCGCTGTTTGCTAACATGCTGTTCCAAAGCAACTTTGTGTGAGGCATCAGAGGCACATGTCTAAATAGACCAAAAATAAGTGAGCCCTCAAATTTAAACAAAATATGGATATGGATGCAATTTTACCTTAATGGATGGTGTATTTTCAACTGAGTTGATATGGTTAAGTTTCTTGGCATTACTTGCTGAAATTTTTCTCTTCTGAAGAATAAATATATAGTGGTCTATAGTTAACAATTAAAAATATCCTGATAAAAAGTAATACAAAATTCTCGATATTAATAACAACGTAATATTCAGATAAGGCATTTAAGAATGGGTGATTAGCAGTAGGTGATTTAGGCTTTCATAAATACAATTCGAAATAGTGCATGTGCCAAGACCAAAATTAAAGCAATACTTGAAGGAAAATACAAGACTTATTGATATGCTTTATTTAAATACTATTGAAGTGATCTTGACTAAACTCTGTATGCATTCTGATTCTAATGACTCAAGCAAAAAAGTAATAATAATTGTGAACTGGCTAAGAAATCAAATTGATAAAATATTTTAACCTTCACGTATAGATATCGCAAACGCAATAGTTGTATATTTCTGACAACGAATAACATTATGCATTTTGCAAAATATACCATCAATTTGGAGTTAATGGAAAATTTATAAAATTTGTTTTAAAAGCAATAATAATGACATGATTTAAAAGTGGACAGCAAAATGTTATCAATACAATTAAGAGAAGATTTAAAATTAAATCATACGAGAACGCATATTAGTCGTTAGGGCACTTGCAAATAAAGCTTAAAGTAGCTGGCTGTCCATTTTCCAATCAGGATCGAAAGATATGACCCAAATACCAAAGCCTACCTCAAGCACAGGGCTACGCAAGTAAAAATATTTATTTAGATATAGGTTTCAGTCTCAAAAATAAAGTTTGGCCAGGAACTAATCAACGTGAATAAAAAACTTAGAATGCCTCGCAGTTTGCTTTCAAAATAAAGGCATGGAAAGTGGCTGGACAGCTTTAAGTAATTGAAGTTTCGAGAATATCAGTCCTCAACACAATTCTCGGAGTGTCAACTCGTATGTCTACATATGTATAAAATAATCAAAATAATTCTAAGACAAAAAAGTAAGTGGGAAAGACGTGTCTTGAATTTTGTTAAAATAATGACTAAGCACATGTCAGTTTTTCCATGTGTCAGGCAAGGGCCGAGTTGAGATTCAAATGGAATGAGTGAAAGTATGATCAAATAAGCGCTCTAATAGCGGAATAGCTTCAGCTTTTTGAGTTATTAATAGCCACAAGGACGAGGGTCCAACTGGTTGACGTATTAGCTCTAGCTTTTAATATTGAGTTTTACTTAAAGTAGATTAACATAAAAATATTAAGGATACAGCCAATTATTCAGTAAATTAAAATAAGCATCTCTATAAAGCAAAATTACCTTATAAGATTTATCAATTTGCTTTGAGGACCCAAAGGAAGCTTTGCCATTCATAGCGAGGTGGGGAGAAACAAGAAACCACGCGGTGTTCAATTTGCGCGGAAAATCAACTAAAGATTGGCTAAAGTAGTCCTTGGCTTACAAAAGATTAAACATATAATTGTAAAAAAACGTAAAAATATGCTTTTTTTAGTTTGGTCAATTAGGATGTTAGCCGCTAACTTCATATATCCTTCTAGGTATACCATGCTAAATTTTTCATATTTAATATTGATGAGCTTAAACTTCTGCAAAATATGTGATATTTTAAAAATTCTAGAATTTTAACCCGATATAATCCATATTTATGGAGCAATTGCTTATCTTCAAAGGCAACGACATCGCTAAATCGTGCGTTTCCCCGTTTTGTGCAGTTAAACTTTCATGAGTTTGCGAGGTCTAATCCCTCGATGAAAAGTTCAGATATAATGAAAACGCTGAGTTATCAATACAACCAATTGAGCCTTCATGAAAAGCTTGATTTAGTACCTCCTGACGCTAACGAACCTGGCAATGCTGCGCTGTCAGAAAAAAAAAAGCTGACTCGCAAGGCATTGAATGTATGGATTCGTACAGACGTCCATTTTTTTGCATTCTGATTACTTTTTGTTTTGTAGTTTGCCCAGAAACATGGCTTGCCTAAACGTCCAGCACATTCTGGATTTGGAATCTACATATCGGAGCGACTCATTGGTGCTAAGGTATCGTACTTTATCCATTTTGTGTTATGTTCTTCCTATCTCCACAACTTAATTTTCCTTGTAACGTATTTCATAGTAGCGATTGTTTTCATATGAATGAATTTTTTCAAAGGGCAAAACTCTAGCTGATGTGGCAAACAAGTTGAAAGAGCTGTCTTCTATCTGGAATCTCTTTTCGTCTTCGGAAAAACAGGTAAGATATAATTCTCTTATGATAGTTTCCTTTAGACAACACATTTTTGTACTACATACCATTAATTCATAATTATTTTTCGTTAGTAGGTTTTCGAGACTATCAGTAAATTAGAAATATGAGTTGTATTCACCCTATTTCGTTTAATAAGATATAGGACTGGTAGTTGATTTTCCCCACAATGATATGAGTAGCTGACATTTCTATTGAATTCCGCATAGCCTTGCTTTCCTAAAAGATGTTGAAAGGGTGGACTGCAGTTTCGATCTTGCATAGGTCTTATCAACACCCCAAGCTGGAGTAGAGCCATGAAAGTGTTGCATGTGAACTCGATATACTAACCAATACGCCGCATTGTTACGAACACCTTTGGGTCACAGGGCATGTGTGAATTTCCAGGAACATCGGGCAGAATGTGATATCGAAAATACCTGATATTCCTGGAAATTCATTTCTGCTCTGTGACCAAAGGGCACTCGTGGAAATGTGGCGTAGTGGTTAACGTGTCAAGCCTACACGCTGCACTGTCATGGTTAGACCTTGGCTTGGGGTGTTGATAAGACCTATACGAGGTCGAAACTGAAGTCGATCCTGAATGAGAACATCTTTTAGGAATCAAGGCTATGTGAAATTCAATGGAAACGTCAACTATTTACATATCATTGTGGAAAAAATCAACTGCGAGTTCTCCATCACCTTAAACAAAATAAGGTGAATACAACTCATAATTCATAATTATTCCTCATTCACATCATAAGCGAGATATACCATAAAATAATACATAATTTGTCAGCATGGACAGTTTCATTAACCATCTTCATCACTAGGCTAAACTTCATCTCACTTGGATAAAATCTTTCCTATCGAGATTCCTTGAACTAATGCACATAGAGTGTGCTAGACTGGCTGGTTAAAATTCCTTTTTTTTAATTATTATATTCCAACAAATTAATGAAGTCGTCTGGATGCGAGAGTGATGCTAAATGAAATGTAGTATTTTTGGTATTCAGGACCGTCAGATCACATTATGCAGATTTATAGTAAACGCCTTGTTCTCTCACAGATGAATGTCTTCACAAATGTGAACAAAATACGCCCGCAAATAGTATCTAAATAACAGGACATGATTTTTAAGGCATTATTCTTATTATTCCGTTATGCTTTTCCTATTCAAATGTTCAGCATTACATCTTCTACAAGTTATAATTTG